CCTAAACCCCAACCCCTAACCCTCAACCCATAATCCTTGGAGCCCCGGCGACGTCGGCGAAGGCACCGGCTTTTTGAGACGCAGCTTCGCACCGGGACGGGCCTGCACAGGGTTGGGGGGTTAGGGATTAGGGGCTATATGGGGGTTTCCCAAAATTAGGGATACCCTTTTGGGGGTACCCATAATAAGGACTATAGTATTTTGGGGTGGCAGGGACAAGCTAGGGTTTTGGGTTTTGGGTTTAGGTTTTGTAAGGCTTTAGCATTTTGGGCTTCAAGATTTAGGTTGTGGGGTAAGAGAGCATTAGCCCTCCACCTACAATGCTAAGAACTCTCTACAATGGCCCAAATATGTTGCGGCAGTGCATGTTCATGAAACCAAACATGAGTAGGTAGACATAACCACAAAAACGATTGCTAGGATAGTATGGGGGATAACTTCCCAAAAAATTCCCATTCCCCCATACTTCAGCCTCCAAGCCCGCCTGCCACGCAGAGCCTTTGTGGATCAACTGCCCAGGCTGAAGTTGCTCCTCGGGTTCAGAAATTGGGGTTTCAAAAAGAGCAATCCTAGTAGGGAGTCCATAGAGGTACGCATTAGAAGCTCCAATGGTGCTTCATGCGGCGAAGTTTTGCATCAAAGGTTACGGAAATCTGCGAGTATGGCTTTGAATATGGGGTTGGGCCAGGGTCAGTGATTTTGGGCTCGAGGGAAGGCGCTTCTGATTCTGTTTGAACTAAAACAGATAAAGGCAAATCTTTTGCAAGCATAGCACTATAGGATGAGCCACGGCAGCCACAATCACGCTGACTTTCTCAAAGCCTGGATTCTTGAAGTCTTTCTGAGTGTGGCGAGCCTTGAATCCAGATCAATCATTGCCATTGTTGCCCTCGTGATTGTCCATGTCATCATTCACTTATCGGCTTCTTAGACTTGTTGCCATTATGCAGCCTCTGTCATTATTGCTCAGCTGTAGATGCCGCCTCTTCTGCCCTCCTATCACCTCTCGATTGCCCCTCGAAAATCTGTCCTGACTCACCATCGCCATCGGGATGGATCTATGATGCAAATGCTACTCCTGGTATGATTACGATGTGCGCGGAAGCCAATGCTGCTTCCATTTCACAAAACCGCATTGCAAACAAGTAACGACGTGTGTGAATTCTAGCAGCTGCTGCTAGGACAAGGCTTGTGGAGCTTACATATGAAGCAGTACTGCTGGCCGTTGTCTGCTGTAGAAAACAAGTGCGGCACCCAGACAACATGGCTGTCCGGAACCGTCCATGTCCCTCAGATTCCCTCAGTGGAAACTCAGGTGGAGGTATCACCCGACCGTCTGAAAAAAGCAGTTTATATGCTTTAATTTATCTATGTGGGATGGGAAGCGTGAGACGCTTGATTGAGGCTTTTTCCTTGAAAGGTTTTGCACTTGATCCCTTTGTTTTTGTGCAGGGCCTTTCTTAGAAAGGCTCTTGAAGCGACGCTGCGGTGAGAGAGGCCGGAGTCGAGGTAACACAGCGTCCAAGATGGTTAGAAGGGCGTCTTGGATACTGCATACGGGATGAAGAACATCAGCCAGTCCTCAGGTTCACAGAATAATGCAGGGACAATCTGTGAATTGGACTGGGCTGCTAGTAGTTTGAACGGCATGCCCCGTCCAACGGGAAGATGCCTGGTCCGAGATAGGCAGCTACGCAACATCCTTTCCTGCTTTGCAAGAATCCGGAGAGACAACGACGCAAGTCCATGGAACACTCTGGCTGGTCATCTGGTTGCTGCAAAACCTCCCATATTGGGAGTATATTGGGGTTGTATTGGCGGAGTTTAGGGTTTACGGTTTCGGTGCCTTCCGAAGAGTAGGACTGATTCTCAAAAAGTTCACCGTCTCCCCTATCTCGTCATTTCTGGTATATCGCCTATACAAAGCTGTAGAAGCTGCCTGCACTAGGGAATAGGTCTTTAGGTCACGACTCACTGGATTAGGGACCTTAATTTAAGTTACTATAATGGAGGAACCATAATAATTACTCTAAAAGTACAAAAGAATATATATATATATATCTACATATATATCCATTGTGGTAACTTGATTTAAGTTCCTTAACAGTAACCCTGTTCACACATGGAAACAGTCAGAGGGGGGCACAGCGCAAGTCAGCTGCAGCCACAGCTATTCTCGTTGCAGGCGGCAAATCTATCAGATTCACTCCAAAAGGGCAGCGGGCCGCACCTTAAACCCTAAACACCCCCAGCAACTCCATATCTACCACCTTAAGTTTAAGAGGGGGCAGGACTGTATGCATGCCAAGTTAGTGCTTTCTATTATAACTAGTATTACAGTTGTTACTGTTATTACTCTTGTGAAAATTGTTACTATAATTACTAAAATCTCACTGTTTTGGGGGGGTCCCGACCTAAGGCTAGACATGTTGGTGTGAGGAGGCCGCGAAATAAGATCGCGGGTGAAGACCGAGTCCACCTTCCTCCCAAGGCTAATCTCCCCATGAGAGTACCTGCCCCGCCCTAACAATGGGTTTACGTATTGGGGCTAAGGGTTTAGGGTCTAGGGATACCCCTAGTATAAAACCATCATATATTAGAGGAGTATTTCTCATTAGGGGGTTGCGGGGTTAGCGGAGTAGGTCACACTGATGGAAAATTCTGCATCCCTGGAAGCCCTTATGTAAATTCTTAACCCACCTGCTTCCCACTGCACTTGGAAGCCGCAGCACATTCAATTCTAAAACCAAAAGCCCAACACCTCAAGCTCTAGACCCTCAGCCCATCTTAAAGACAGCCGCTCCCTGCAGCCCCTATTACCCTAAGCCCTAAACCCTAAACCCTATAGAACCCTATAGAACCCTATAGAACCCTAAACCGTGTTACCTGGCCCGCGAGGAGAATCTTTGGCTCTGTCTTTGCATGCAACTCCTGCCAAAACTGGGTTGCTGTTAAGGAACTTAAATTAAGTTACCACAATGGGTGTATAGGGTTTAGGGTTTAGGGTTACCATAATGGGTATAAATAATAAATAATAGGGTTTCCCCAGTATAGTAACTTAATTTAAGTTCCTTAACAGCAACCCAGAAAAGTTTGAGAGAAGTCTGAGCTTTGTGAACACACATGCGGGGCCCCGTAAATCTCGGCGGCTTTTGGTTGCTGTAAGACGGACTCCTGAAATCATGCCTTGATGCGGAATATGATTCGGTACATCTCCCGGTGACAAATGCTTAAAAGGGGCATGTTTCAGTAAGAGCTGAACATTATCCTGATGTGCAAGATGAAAATGGTCGCTTAAGCAAGGGCTGGCTGTCAAGGTTTCCGTTGAGGTTGCCAGGCCCAGCTCACCAAATTCTAGTGCGTTGTGTAAATGTGCTGGAAAATGCAAGAAACAAACATGGATTGGTGCAGGGCATGGATGACTCTGACAAAGTTCAGCATGCAGGTTCTGATGTTGGCGGGTGAGCATGCAGGATTGAACATCTCATCTTACTTCGGCTGAGGTACTACAGATCTCAGCAAGTATCTTACGAATCATGAATGTTGTCTACATGGTAATTTGAAGAGGGGCCGTAGGATATTACTGACAAAATAGACTTGGAAGTTTGCCTACCTAGGTACAGACATGTTCAACACTCAGCCTCGGAGAGGTAAATCCCTCAGAAAGGATCCTCAACCGGCTGTTCATTGCTAATTGTTAGGAAGAAATAGATTAGGAAATGAAGCTACAATTTTGGTTGTAGGGAAACGAAAATGGGAACTAGCATAGCATTAGCGACTACATAGGGACCACTGTCGGGATGCATTCCTCTATTCCCTACTAACTACTAACAAACAGCAAGTTTTCTGCTGGTATCCAACTCATGGGCCCCTGCAGCAAACGCCCTAGGCACCCATATGGAAACTTCCATGGTTCGGTTCCTTTGCACATTTTTTCTCTGGCAAGCAACGAGCAATGCGTCAAGCCCATAAAGAAAGCAAGGAAGCTGGAAACGGCCTTCGACGACTCGAAGATCAAAAGCTGCTCCTGCTGCAGAACGCATGTTTTTTGGCTTTTTAAGCTTTTTGCAAATTCTTATATGGGTGTGTCCCTGACTTCTGGCTGCCTTCTTGGGGTTGCCATAGCAAAGACTACCATGTATTGCAGGATGGGTTGAATACTGCCCACACGTAATAACAGCTGCAAACCAAATATAGCATGACTGCACGAGGCTCTGTATATGACCCCTACAAGAAACCATGACTGGGCGTGGGGGGGGGGAAAAAGCCTGCTTGCAAGTTCACCCTACTCGTAATCCCCCTATCTGCTAACTGGACCTACTAAGCTTATCCCGACTATAGCTACGCCTATAACCCCAGGTGGAAATAACAATTAAATGCCATGAACTTCCAAGTAGGGACGTACATGGATCGAGAAGTTGGCTCTGTTTATCTGCCCTGGACTTAGACCCTGAACCCTAAATGTCAAATACCAGAAACCTAAATCCTTCACACTACTTACTAGGCCCCAAACCCTAAACCCTAAGCCCTAAATCCTGAACCCCTAAACCCTTAAACCCCTAAACCCTAAACCCCTAGACCTATTCGTAAAACTGTTCTGGCTATCATGGGAACTCTGTTGCACCCCAAAATCTCTACGCCAGACACCTACATCCGAAAGTCCTCTATTTCCAAGGCCTAAACCCTAAACCCTGTTTCCCATGTTCCTGAGAAGCTTTCTTCTGGTGGGTCTTCTTCCAGTCTGCATATGGCTGGCCATAGACCTGAGTCCCGACTTAAGGGGTAAAGGTTTAGGGTTTAGGGCTGAGGTCTAGGAATTTCGGTCCGCTTTCGGGTCCATTTCAAGGGGGTTATAGAGGCTATATAGTGGCTCTATAGGGGGATATAGGGTATATGGTGATTGGTATAGGGATAGTATCCCAATAATGGAGAATCGAATGGAAAAGAAAATGGAGAAGAACATGGAAAAGAAAGTGGAAGCAGTGGTTATTTAGGAATTTATTGGGGATAAGGGTTTCCCAAAATTAGGAGTACCTTTTCGAGGGTGCCCATAATAAGGATAACAATATTGTGGGGTCTACTTTGAGAGGCCCCTATTCATAGACCTACAATGGGAGCTACAGTCTAAACTCCTAGTATATCCCATAATAACCCCTACAGAAGTCCGGTAGATAATCCCTTCTATACATAGCCTCCTTTAAGGAGTTTAGACCCGACCCTAAGCCCTAAACCCTAAATCCTAACCCTAAACCCTAAATCCTAACCCCTATATCCTAAACCTCAACCCTATATGACCCCGCTTTAGACCTGTGAGTTGAGGGTTCGTGCATCAAGTCGGTGTCTTCAAGCTCTGGCCTGGAAGGTGTGGAATTTGTTCAAGATATGAACTTTAATCCAAACTCCTTAAAACGTCCTATAAATAAGACTATATAGGGGAAGATTAAAAGGCTTATAAGGGGGGGTACTAGGAGTTTAGACTACAGCTCAGATGTGCCTGTTTATGATTTCCGCCTTGCGGCTGGAGGTAATGTAAGCCCCGGCAAGGCTTGTCTTCTTGACGTGGCCAGGCTCCAGGATTCAGAGTTTTAGGCTCAAGGGCGCAGAGTGCAGTCTATGATGCTTTGGGTTTCTGGTTGTGGTTAGGGCTTATGCTGTCCATAACGAGGCGCCGGTGCGAGACAAGTGCTAACCGGTAACCGCTACTCATGACGACAAACCGTAATTGTGATCTCATGGGACACTTGGCCTCTACAGACGGAGGTGCCCTGGCATCCTGATACCATACCGTAACTAGGAGGAGTATGCTGAGGAGAGCCAACTCATGTTGCCCACCAGTACAGTCCTGGCAGTAAACTGGCTGGAGTCCTACCGTTGCAGCCTGCCAAAGTATGGGTTCTGAGAGGCCAGTGATGTCACACAATTATGCAATGCAGTGGCAGATTTCACAGATGCCATCGGGCTTTCTCACACAGAATCACAAACATGTCATCCTTGAGTTAAGAACAACATCCCTGAAATAAGGGCATGGAGGAGGAACATCCAACAAATCCTGATGTTGAGTCAGCTGCAGGCCAGCTCACACCCTCGATTTCTGCTTCTTGTAATGGGTTATATAATGGCTATATAGGGATCATGGAAAAGAAGATGGAAGCTACTAAAATATAATAGCATATATAATGGGGTACATATTATGAAGTTGTGGGTTCGGGCTTTCCAGAACGAGACGAACACATGGAAAAGAAAAGCACCTGAAGTACATATCGGTATGACGTTCCGTGCCTGAACCTCGGCCAGGGAGCCAAGAATCTCAACACCCTGCCATGCCCTGAACCATCAAGCCATCAATTTCAACAGATGCACCTTAAGCACAACGAGCCCTTCCGCAAAGCTAACACCTCATATCAGGTCTATACCCATTCAGAATGAGACCATTCCTTCGAACACCTTCGATGCCGAAGGCATTTACTTGCTGAGCTGCCAGCAACTTCACAAGCCTCCTGGCAACAGTTTCACTCAAAGATTCTGGCTCACTGGGGTAGGGTTCGGATTCTTCAGCAGCCACACCTTGAGCTATGCGGGGCTGCAGCAGTCGTTGGATCTTGATCTGTTTCTTCCGCAACAAGCTTTTCCAAGAATTGCTACAAACCGGCACGCGTGGAAAGGCAAACGCCTCATATGCCCTTAAGTTTCTAGGAGGCAGAAATCAGGAAGTCCGGAGTCAAGATACTCTCCCACCCTCTTCCAAAACCCTAAACCCTTAAACCCTTAAACCCTAAACCTTTAAACCCTCAAACCCTTAAACCCTTAAACCCTACACCCTTAAACCCTTAACCCTTAAACCCTTAAAACCCCTAAACCCTAAACCCTTAAACCCTAAACCCTAAACCCTACTGTTGTTCCAGAGGTGTTCATCTGACCTCCTCCTGCTGCCTCTGCTGCTCTTGCTGCTGCTGTTATTGCTGCTGTTGCTGTGGTGTGTATGATTCCGAGAGTAGCCAAAACGACCTTCGATGACGATGATTCTCATAATCAAACACTAAAGCTAAAAAACCTTCACAGGTTCACGAGCATGGAAGCCATTGAATGTAGGAAAGGTCAAACAAACAGAGCGTCACGCAGCTACTGGCTTCAAGAAAAGCCATGCTAGAAATTTTCAATTCAGAGCTTCGAAAGGCTTTGGATTTCTGCCCTGGGGTGCTGAAAAAGAACTCAAATTAAGTTACGATACTTAGGAGACCACATGGTTCACTTTGTATCCCGGCTATCCAGCTTACTGTAATTCGACTTCTTATCAGCAAGCCGGTCGAGTTTATGTTTTGACGAGGGTGGCCGGGGAGCAAGCCCTGCTAGCACTCACGGTCCTGGTCCCTACTGGTGCCCTCCCCTTGATAGCTAACCGCCCGCCAGTCACCCCAAAATAACTACTCCCAATACAACGCCATCCTATACTGGGGTGAATATCAGAGGTTTGGCAGGGTTTAGTGTAGTATGAAGGGAGGGGATTGCTACACACCAATGCATAGTATTGGTGCTGTCTTTGGCCGAAACTCTTATCACTGCCTTGTCCACAAACATTCGCTTTGGGCTGAGGCTTCAGAACTTTGAGAAAATACCACGACCGTTTGACATCACGGATGGTAAGGGCTGTATACATTGCGCGTAGAATGCACACTCCGAACATCTTGTCTCCTCTGAACCGCTTGCTGCATTATATGATGCTACATGAGTGCCGGACTACTTCTCTTGCAAACCGCAGAGACCATGGGAAAAAGAGTTGGCCCCTATCGGTTATGTGAGTTTTAGAGGGTATCCGTGGAGGGTTGGCCCCTATCGCCTTGCGCCAGAAATTTACAATTTTGAATCTCACGACCAGCACAGACATTTCATAGATGTAGTCCGACACACACAAGCTCCAGCACTGCGGTGCTATGGCCTCGTGCTCCATAGGAATGCCGTACACCTGCCAGCTTTATCCCTTCCCAGCTTATCATACAGCTGCTCTCGAGGGCCTCATAAGCAGATCAATAAACACTTCCACTGTCTGCTTGTGGAGTCATAGACTCCAAAAGGACAGCAATGGCGCCCCTTACATTGGCACGTTCTACACATGCATGTGCCAAGCGGCACGCAGGTTGACCGTAGATCCTATACAACAGAAATTCAGAGCTTGAGCTGCCGTTGACGGAGAATGAAACTATATTGCAATGATGGAAAAGAAAATGGAAACTACTAAAGTTTAAGCTTTAGGCTTTAGGGTTCAGGGTTGTTTGCAACATTTCTGGAACTTCAATGACCAAGGGTATGCGTTCCTGTTTGCTGTGCAAGGGCAGCACATTGGGATGGAATGGCTTGAGGACGTCTGATGGGTGTGTGTTCCAGCGTACACTCTCGGTGACAAGGGGCGACCTTGAAACCCCTGCGTCCCTAGGCATGTTGGACACAGAAACTGACCAGCTGCTGTTGCTGTTGGGATTTCGTACACAGATTTTGGGTTGGGCCCCCACCCACTAACAGTGGTATATTAGCAATATAGAAGGACCCTAATACAATTACCATTACCTCTTGTGGTCACTGTTAGTGGGTGGGGGCCCAACCTAACACAGATTGTTCAACTTAAAAGCATCCATAACTGCACCGGTAGCTTGGAAGGACGATGAGCTCGGGAGCTTTGTTCTCTGGCCCTGAAGTTTCTTGGCACGTGTGGAAATATTATTTGCCGTTTCTGGTCAGAATGCAATGAGTAGCCGCTAGGATTTGGCTGGTGGTTCTGTAGACCGTCAACATATGTTAGTGCCAAGCAAACAGCCTCAAATCCCGCAAAATGTGAAAAAATAAAGTCGTGAAAGCGCCCAACATTGCCTTCAGCTAGCTGCACACCTTACAGGAACCCTAAACCCTAAACCCTAAAACCTTAAACCCTAAACCCTAAACCCGGAACGTATCATTTCAGGGTTCATCACATTTCGGGCTTATAGAGATGCAGCATCAACTCCTGTGACTTGAAAACCTTGACCACACAACTGAAATCTTAAAAACCCTAAATCCTCCGCCCCAAACCCTAAACCCTAAACCCTACAAACTTAACCGACTTAACCCTTATAAAGCCTAAATCCTACAAACTTAACCCTTATAAACCCTAAACCCTATACACCTTAGCCCTAAACCCTAACTTCGAAGCCCTTGATCTGCGAAGCTGGCAGTCCTTGGACCCGGCGTGGTACCTGCGAACAACAGTTGGTAGTTTCCCAAAATAGGGGGACCCCAATACTATAGTCCTTAATATGGGGACCCCCAAAATGGTACCATTAATTTTGGGAAACCCCCAGTTTGATTTTTGATAGACTCAGGGGCCTAAGGGTTTTGTGGGGTTTGGGTTCGGATTTTAAGGTTTAGGGTTTACCTCAACCCTCAAAGTATGTAGAATAATGGCCTTTCTGGTGATTTTGTTGGGCTCTAAGCCTTGATTTCTTACCCTGTTTTGGGAGGTGCGGATTAGGGCTATGGATGTCTGGCCATCCCCCCGACTGCTGCTTGGGGCTGATCATGCGGTGGAGGATGCTTATACTTGTACATATGAGCAGCTATGGCCTAAACTCCTTAAAGGGGTTATATAGGGGATTATGTAGGGGAGTATAAAAGGGGTCATTGAAGAAAGCTAGGAGTGTAGACTGTAGCTCATATCAGTGCACATGGTCCACACTCAGCTTCCTGCCGTGGGTCTCTAAAGGCCCCCTCATCTGAGAAGCCTTAAACCCTAAACCCGGAACCCAACCCCTAAATCTTAGACATTCCATATCCAGTGAATCTGTTCGAAAATCTGCAGAGCAAGACATACACCCAGTTTGTGAAAGTTCGAGCATTCTAGCCATACAGCCTCCGACAACGCGTCGGCCGCCCCGGCGTCGCCCAAGGCAGCCAGCGCTCGCGCCCGAAGGACCAGCCCTTCTGGGTTCCTGTAAACTGGTTCAACAATGGCATAGTATTCAAAATTGAATCGTCTGTTCTTCATTTTCGGGGGTGACAATGAAAGGCCTATTTGCAAGATTGACACAGGGAAGGTGCTGGGGTGTTGGACCCCATTGCCTTGTATATAGGATCTTTTACGAATATGGGTTCAGGCTGCATAGGGTTCCAGGTTCCGGGCTTGTGACATAATTAATTATGAAGGCAACATGTCCTGAATGCGAAAAATTGCAGAAGGGGGTAGGGGAAGTTTCGTGTCAGGAGAAAAATATCAATTGTAACTCTGAAGGCCGAAAGCTTATAAGGTAATCTCATCCCGTCGGTTGCGTGCATATCTTACCCTAAGGGTCCTAGTACCCAATAATCATATCCGTCCAATAACTGCATACAATTACTACTACCCAAATCCCAAGCACTTAATCATTGGGTACTTGGACCCTTAACCCTGTATTCTCACACCCTAGCTTTCAAACGGAGTCGTTTGGGTTCAGCACGCGTTTAACTGAAAGCATGTGTTTACCTTGGAGAAGTCTGTGAAGATGCTTCAGCAGCAGAAGTTTCACAGAATTCTACGTCCTCTCGACAGTTTTTAGGGCTCTTCCCATGCTTTTCTCACGGACGTTTCACGTTACCGGTTTTGCGCCCTTCTGAATTGGCTAGTGGTGTTAAGAGTCGCTTCTAGTACACAGTGCCAGTTTAACGGGCGCCTTTGCGCAGCACCACCTAAACGACCACTTCGACTTCTTGGGAATAGATTCCTATATACCCCTATACACCCCTAATCCCTAGATAGCAGTTTCCATATTCTTTTTTCCATTATCCCTATACAACCGCAGACTGTAGGCAAGAAGGGTCGCATGCAAAGCCCTCCACAAAAGGGAGTTTAGGATTTAGGGCTTAGGGTTGAGGGTAGCGAGTTTGGGCCTGCAAAGTTTGAAGGCTCGGCTCCGTGGTGGTTTTAGGATTTTATGTTTAGGTTTTCATGGTTCAGAGTTAAAGTTTAGGTTTTCAGGTTTAGTGACATCGAGGACGGGAAGCATACATCACTTCAGCCTGTGACCTGCCTATGACTTTGGCGGTTCATGCCTAGCCCTCTAAATTACTTGATGAAAATAGGTCTAATGAAGTGCCCTATAGACCCCTTCATAACCCCAATGGCCCCCTACCCCTCTGTTAAATTGACTTTATAACTGAATGTTCAGGTTAATTACAACCAACGCATAATTGTACTTGTCACCCAATAACCCGCCAAAGTCCCGTCACATATACTGAGCCATAAGTGCCTGGTAAAATCGGGTCATACTTACTGTACATAAACCCTAGATTAGATACTCTTCTATGATTCTATAGACCCCATGTGATCCCTATATATCCCCTACATAATCCCTTATAAACCCTCTATATCCCCTATACTATCCTTTATAAACCCTATAGATCCCCTATATAATCCCTGTAGAATCCCTTATGGCCGGGTGATACTGACCCTCCAAGTAATCCCAAGGTTGAAGTCCCAAGCAGAGGCTCCTCGGCTCAAGCTCCAGGACACGACGAGCATCTGACAGTGCCTCAGCTTGGGTTTGGGTTTGTAGTCCCCCTTGAGTAGATAGAATATGGGTGTATATATTATTGCGGTTAAATATAAGGATAATGGAAAAAGAAAATGGAAACTGCTATGTTAGAGTAGGGTATATATTCGGGTTATAGTCCCCCTTAAGTAGCTAGAATATGAAGTATATGGGGATCTGATAAAAATATACCCGAAGCCACATTCGGATGCTTGGCGCATAGTCACCCTAAAAGGTTTAGGGTGTAGGGCCCCCTTACAGGGTTTATGTAGGGGTTCTATAGGGGTAATGGAAAAGAACATGGAAGCTACTATTTAGGGTGTAGGGCTTAAGGATTAGAGCTTAGGGTCTAGGGCCTAGGTTTGGGTTTAGGTTATCGTTTCTCGTTATTCGCGGGTGCCTATGGTCTGACGTAACACGAAGGCCTCAAACCAATGCACTTATTTTACATACTTTTGAGGGTCTCGGCACGGCTCTACATAGCGCAATGAAGGTGCAGTAATAGGTATAGTCTTGAGGGTTCAATGCGGGTATTGTCCATCGGGTTGAAGCCTCAGGGTGTCGGTAGTGCTGTAGGGTCGCAGACGGGGACCTTAAAGCCTAAACCCTAAATCCCATAAACCCTAATCCCTAAATCCTGAATCCTAAACCCCAGTCCACGACAGGGATCCGCTCTTCAAATTTCCCTGAAGCAACAGCATTGCTGAGAACCCTGCAGGTGCCATTCAGTTCGGTTTGCAATACTTTCAGGCCTCTTGTCAAGGGGTACCCCAAATTTAGGGGTACCCTTTTGGGGTTCCTCACATAAGGATTGTAGTATATTAGGGCCCCCCTTTAAGGGAAACTACCATGAGATTCCTTCACCTCCCTACACCCGTACCAGTATTGATTCTGTCTGTTCGTAAGTGTTGCTTTGGAGATCGCAATAGCCGGCGTCTTCAGATGAGTTGTGGAGAATGTACCCTGCTGGAAACTTATATGTAAACCCCTAAAAGGCCCCATAAGACTACTGTCCCTATAAGAGGGGCTATATAGGTATCGATGTTGGTTTGGGGAGTGTATCATTTTAAGATGGGTGAGGGCCCTAATGTGGATCCCATTATACTTCCATCCTCACTACAGGGACTCCCAAACTCCCAGCAAAGGGCCCCTAAGCCTAGGAACCGCTGACCCCTTATAAAGCCCGCTATACGCAGATTTGTATACATATTTATATATATTTATATACATATATGTACTCATACATATATCTCTCTATAACCCCTAGAAGCCCTAGAAAGTTTTTTTTGCAAACCCTAATCCCGTATGAATGAATCCCTATATGTGCCCATGAAGAGGAAGGGAGTCTAAATCCTAAACCCGTAACCCTTAAACCCCAAACCCTTAACCCTAAACCCGAAATCCTTAACCCATACACCCCACTTCAAGTTGCGGGAGCCGGCTCTTGCGGCCCAACCAAGGGCTTAGGGCTTAGGATGGCTGTAGGGTAACTTGCCCGCAATGAGTTACGGTTCTTAGGAAATCCTCAGAATAATTAGGTTTAGGTCCAAGATAATTATCGATAATATAATCCATATTAAGACCCCATATTCATGGAAAGTTTGTTGCCATCCAACCAAGGGCAATGGCAATCTTTTGAGCTTAAGCCTCCAAACCCAACCGTCTCCCTGGCTGCCCTGAACCGGGGCAGCTCTCTAAATACCCTAAACCCTAAATACCCTAAACCCTAAATACCCTAAACCCGAAATACCCTAAACCCTAATACCCTAAACCCTAAATACCCTAAACCCTTAATACCCTAAACCCGAAATACCCTAAACCCTAAATATCCTAAACCCTAAATGCCCTAAACCCGAAATACCCTAAACCCTAAATACCCTAAGCCATAAGCAAAGGAAGTGAAGGTCCAAGAGTCGCGAGGTTACAACGCTGATGGTCCAAGTACCAATATTTCATTGAGTACTTCAGATGCTGGTACTAGGTAGGAATCGTGGTATAGGTTTGGGGGATGTATATGGTCATTCGGTACATGGACCCCTTAAGGATAGCTCTAAGGATATTGTATAGGGTTCGTTAAACCCTGAACGCTAAACTTCAGGTCAGGAGTCTTGGCCGTTTATTGTGCGATGCTGCCCTATACAATTTCTATCTAATCTACCTGGCCTTCCGGTGCAGGCTTTAGGGAGGGCTGTGGATTTAGGTAATGTATACGCGCATATAACATCCACGAATAAGCCCATTCTACTCCTTTTAATAACTCTTTCTCAATACGATGGATGGAGGAAATCTGGCAGCACTACCCCCAAAGTACTGTAATAACCATTGCTTTGGCTGTGAAGGGTGATGCAAGATTTTCGTCATCCCTATTCCCTAAACCCTACACCCCAAACCCCTAAACCCAAAATGCTAAACCGTAGGTTCCTGGACGCATTAGAAAGCCTTGGGTCCCGCAAAAGGACAGGGAACCTGCTGGCTGTCTCCTGTCTGAAGTCTCCTTAGCTAATGCATGCGCGAAGGAGCCCCCCAAATGCTCAGGGATTCAGCAGTTTTAGAATTGTTGCGGTTTGGGAGATTTAGGGTTTATTTTTAATTTTGGTTTGGGGGTTGTCAAACTTACGTTTCTAGTTTGGGGCATCCTAGATATTAGAGGCCGTCATAAATTGCGGGGCCAAAAAAGGGACCATAACCTAATATAGTCCCTAAAAAACAAAATTGAAGCAATACACTTCTCTTTGGTGTACTAGAAGATTTAAAAGATTGTAATTTTGATAACCCACCATGTGAGGCTGCAGATTTGCGAGTGCTAAGGTTGACAGTTTTGCTTCTAAGGACTTAGCATCCTGGACTTTGGCACGCTTAACTTCACGGTTTAGGGTTTAGGGAGAAGGGCTTCAGGCTTGGGATACCCTAAACCCTAAAGTCTAAACTCTACAACGGGTTGAGTTCTGGGTTGAAGGGTTGGAACTCGCACGGAATTTGTGTGGAAAGCCTGTAGGCTTGGCCTTCCAGGGTCTGCAATCCCCTTAGACCTATAATTAAAAATGCCGCCTTTAATACTCCTTTAGGGATATATATATATAGTAACAAGAAAGGAAATAATTCCTAGGGAGGCTACAGGAATCATTTTTTCCATCTGTAGGTGGTCAGCCTCTTCCAAGGATGCCTTCAGAAAGGTAGTGCGATCTGGGAGTTTCCTTGTCAAAGTGGCGTCTTAAGGAACTTTTTTTTAATGGTTTTCTAGGGCTTCTGTAAGGTTGTTAGGGTGGTCTTATCTAGCTCCAAAGATCTGCTTTAAAGCGCTCTGCTCCTTGCGCGCCATGGCACCACCGCAACATGAGGGCACATGCTGGCTTGACTCACCAGGTTAGCCACCGAAGATTGGACTTCAAACCCTAACTCAGCCAGCCAAATCTTAAAACAGGAATCCTCTTCTTTGATTGCGCACAACGTCCAGCAGCGGTTGAGAACTAAGCTGCTACCATAGAATATCAGATGCCTGAAAGACATCGCGGTCTAGGATTTAGGGTACACGCAGAACCTAGTATTTTGCGCTGACTCACCTCATGTCTGTTGGCAGTCTTCATGCATGGGACCGTTTCAGCTGATCATAATATAACAGCTGCTATATAGGGTAGAATGCCAAAAACAAATTCAAACCGAGAGCTACTATTTATGGTTAAAGGCTTTAGGGTGACAATGCAGAATCGAAATGTCAAAAAATGAAAGCTGAGACTATATGGGTGGAATTGTGTTTGAATCTTGGGCTGCAGCAGAATAGCAGCAGAAATGGCATCTTTGAGAAGAACCCCATCCACCACTCAAAACCGTTACAAGCCCTAGTTGCTCACTGAAGTTCCTCCCCCCCAAAAAAATTGGCCTTTGAATTATAGTAAGAGTACCTATACCGCGAAACCCTAAACCCTAAACCCCACCAATCTTCTCCGTGGACAAGAAGCTGGCGTGCCCGGAGCGCCCACCATACAGGGCAGCTCTTGTCTAGGGCAATCAGAGCCTGGATGGCAGAACCCTAAGCCATGAACTAGAAAGGGTTTGGGGTTTAGGGTTTAGGGTTCAGGGTTTAGGGTTTAGGGTTTAGGGTTTGGGGTTTGGGGTTTCGGGTTTTAGGGTTTAGGGTTGCACAACCAGAAGCCATAACTCAGAGGGTTTGGGGTTTGGGGTCCTTCAACTCCAACGCTTAGGGTCCAAAAATGAAAAGTAGGCAATGACAGGGTACCTGATTCTTCCCTACTAGCTGCTACTAGCTTTTGTCGATAAGATTTTTCGAGGCATAAGATTGGGGAACATTTGAACACAGATCGTCATGCTTGAGTTCTGAGCTGCTCCTTCTGATTCTGTCAGGGGCCTGGAAGAAGTCATCTTGGTATACTTATGTGGGCAGAAGGAGAGTGGTGAATTTTCAGTAAGCATCACTTAGACCCCTCACGAAGAAGAGGAACCCGCAAACTGACCCCACCGTGTGAGTTCAAAAAAATGTTTTCCTCCAAAATCGTGACGGTTGTCAGTCCACACTGAAAAAACAACAGGAAATACGAAATGGCGGAACCATGAACTTGAGGCCAAGTTCAATTCGGCTCTTGCTGACAGTACAGCCTACCATTACTGCAGGGGCGGTGAAATAATTTACCAGTATCAGTTTAAGGTCTATTCGAGGCATCCTCCAATACCAGGCTTAATTACTTAGGCATACTGGGATCTAACCTGGGAAGGGCGGTAACTACAAGCTCCTGCCTCCAGATATGTGGGAAGCCAGAGACGCAGTCGGGCACCAGAGTGTCGAAGTAGTCTCTGTCCAACGCAAAGTATGGCCCTTGCTCGTTAAGTGTCCATGCCTGATTTGGCCTCCCTGCACGGAATCCGGATTTTGTCAAGCATTACCCCAAGCAAACATACATGCACTGCCCATAGGCTGTAATATCATTGTTCTTACCTAAATCCCAAATACACACGTCTGGATACGTACTTCCTAAACCCTTAAACCCCGAATAGTCCATTTTCTTTTCCATTAACCCTATATAACCCTGCATAAGCCGTTTAAAGGAACCCTAAACTGGCCCTAAACCCGAAACCCGTTGGGTTGACTATGCGCCAAGCGTCCGTGAGCGCCTCCTCGGCATCGCACTCTCGACCGTCCCGGGTGGCCTCCACTCGAGTCAAAAGAGTTCCCTAAGGATCCAGATATACAAATAATGCTTACATTGGGCCCCAAAGTATGTACACATTGCCTGCATTGGGCTATTTGGATCCCTAGGAGTTTGCAGGTACATCGGGATAACGGAAAAGAAAACGGGCATTCCTATGTAGGGTTTAGGGTTTCCCAAAATTATGGGTAGTTTTAAAGGGGATATAAGGGCTGTACAGGGGTATATAGGGTTTAGGTTTTATTGTTTCCCAAAATTAGAGGTACGCTTGTAGAGGTCTCTAGAAATAGGATTATCGCATTTTGGGGTCTATAGTGGGGTCCCCCCGATCTCTACGTAAACTGTTGTTTTGCATCATGCCTTTCGGTACTTTTGCACTGCATATGGACTCCGTTGTTGATTGTGCCCAAGCCCACTGTGTAAAAAGGATTATTCGCGAGCTCCTTGCACATGGCTTAACGGATAACTGCCATTACCAATCCTGTGAGCGATTCTGGTAACTATAGTTA